ATCAGAGGAGGAAGCAGCTGGCCGTTGGACAGGCACCGACCTCAGGGAGAATAATAACAACAACATTAAGCACTTACACCAAGGAGGCACAGCAAAGCTACTTCCCACTCGTTCCTCTCTGCCATCGTTGATGTGATGGCAGACAGGAGCCAACGGCAAACCACAAGCAATAACAGCGTCAATACAGCAACACTACACAGGCCAAAAGAGGGGCTGCCTACAGGATGTTTGGATTATATTCACAGAGTTTGAGAGATACTCTGGTCTTCTCTGGCACAGTTTACAAATGGAAAGTGAGTTTGAAAGCCAGAAATCTCAGCAATGTTGATTCACTAGTATTGACTTTAAAACATGACCAACACTGAATGTTTGAGGCAGATACTGATATCAATAACAAGTTTAAAAATATGTTAATGGAAATGATTTATTTGGCGATATTACTTTTTTTTATACCATAAACACAAAACAGAATTGTTTGATAAAGAAACACAATTCTTGATTATTAAAGAATTGCTACCAAGATACTGAGCAGAATATTTTGAGAGTTAAAAAATAAACTTGTCAGTGCTCTCTGCTGGACAAAGTATGTAACTGGAGCCCTGTTTCAAATGTAACGCAAACACAACCTTGGCTTTTCTGTACTGACATTTCTTGTGACCAACCGATCGAGATATGTACAGATACTGATATAGCTTTGATAAGTAATCAGAAGACAACTAGCTGATTGATCTGTCAATCTATAGACAACTTCAATCCTGTCAATAATACAATACATAATGATGTTAATTGTGCAAATCTTCCGTAAGGTACAAATAATAGCTTTGAGCTGAAGATGGATGGATGGATGGTGCTTTGAGCTAAAAGCTAACTTCTGCATGCTAAAGTGCTCACAATGACGACACTGATGTATATCAGATATAATGTTTACCAAGTTCACCATTTTAGTTTAGCGTTTTAGCATGCTAGCTTTGGTAATAAACACTAAACTAAGTATAGCTGAAGCTGATGGGAATATTCATAGTTTTGCAGTTATTCTGTCAGAAACCAAAGTCTTAAAAAAAGTTTAAATTAAAAGTAAGAGGATTGCCAGCGTCACTACATTTCACCCAACAAACTGTTGTTGCGATTCTTCCATCTGGACCAAAGTGGTGAGCTGATAGACTAACATTTTCATCGCTAAAGCATCTACAATGTAAAGGCTCAAAGATGGCACACTAGTTGTTACACTGAACCTGCAGTGTAACAGGTGCACTGAACTGGACAGTAAAATCATAGGGCACTAGGACAGTCTTATAGTGAAGACGTACTGATGCAGCACAGTGCAAATCATCAGTCTGAGAGCAGGTGGAAGACGAGAGCTTAGCTGTTAATCGCTGGGTTCAACAAGCACAAAGGTGTGCTTCATGTGTCTTTTTCTTTGAGTAACCCTAAACAAAGTGGGTCAGTTGTCATCAAGCAAAGGCTTTGTGTTTGATCCCACTTCCTCCTGCCGAGCAACAAAATCGGTGCAGAATGTTTTAACTTAACATCCTGTACATCCTGTATGGCATGTTGTTATGAGTGTTGAAGTCTTCCTTCTCTGTGCAACTACATATTCCAAATCTGCGTCGCTTATCTTTGATGGCTGTTTGGAAGAAACTAACACTAAAAGGATAACATCTGAAAGAACTTTCTGAAAAACTGTAATCGCTCTCTGTGCATTTTCACATCTTTTTACATTGTCTCTGGATCAGCAAAGGTGCTGGGGCTTGTTTCTTCAAGTGCAAATGTCAGGATGAGACAACAACAAGTGGAGCTGTAAAGCATACGCTGTAAAGGTCAAATCACGAAGCAGCGTCATGTCGTGCTTTGCAGCCACTAGGCTCTGTCGGCTTGTTCTGCTCTCTGCATTCCTACTCCTCACAGATCGATCCGATGCTTATCTGTCAAGGTGGTGAGTAATTCCTACCATCACAAAAGATGGGAGCAAATGGAAAAAACAACTACCACTGACATTCCAGAGATATTCCTCCCAAGTGCATTGCATATGTGTGGAAAAATGTTATTGCATGCGCTCTGCCTTGTTCGGAAAAGTACACAAATTCTCTGTCACACAGGGCTTAACGGCCTTAATAGAACATATTTAGGAAAGATTTCCAGCCACTGCAGGTGAAGAGCGTCCAGACGTAGCTGAAATTAGTCAGGCATGTAGGTGGTAATGTGGCCTGCATGACCTCAGGAAACCAGACAGGTAAACAGGAGTGGCATGTCCTTTCATGTCCCATACTGCAGCACAGGAGTATCTAATTTACAGATGAAAAATAAATAGGCAGCAGCTGAAGTATGTAAAGTCAATAGCTGGGAAGAGAGAATAACAGAACCCATAAAGTGTAAAACATGACATGGCCAACATTAAATGCCTGCAGTTAAATTCGTATTTTCAAAAACGGGTACCCTCAAACTGTAAATGAGAATCATAAAATAACTGCTTCCCACTTTTCATCAGATTTAACGACTGATTCAACTACTTTTGATGGACAACCTTCATTTCTAGGAGAAAGTGATCTCACCTCTGCTGAAATTAGAGTTAATATGAATACACAGGACTACAACAAGCCACTTGTAGGCATCTCCTGTCGGTAAACACAGTTAGTATGTGTGTGTATGTTTGGAGGGTGGGGGAAGTCATGGAAATGCAAGGCCTCATTAAGCTGTCACAAGTACAGTAAAGGTTCATAGTTTCTCTGTGTGGCCAAGTGGAAGCAGGGTGCCAGATTCCCCTATGTGTCACTGCAGCAGCAACAAACGCCAAGGGGCTTTATTGCCCATTTGCAAATAGTTATCCACATGGGACAGAACATTAAAGCTTTTTTTAAAAGGAAAAATATCAGGGTGAAGTGTATTATATAATTTGTGGTTTGTTTCACTTTTAATCAGCATAAATAGTACTAAGAGAAGCTATTTAGTTTTTGTTTTTTTTGTTTTTTTTACAATTTCAGTTGTGCTTTGGAACATTGGCTTCATTATTTTCCGGAATATTTAGCTGATCTCTCTACTATTCGCCACACACTCAGCAGTAAGTCACCAAAACAACTCAACGGCAGCACAACCCATGACGTTGGTACAACCTGGCTCGGTCAGTGCTCCGGCACTTCTGTGGTTATTTAGTCAGTGTCAGCCTTTCATCTTCCCCTTTGCCCTACCTGACTCGGCATTCTAGGTTTCCTCCACAGAGTGGTGAGTTAGCAGGGAAGGAACCTGATGTAAGCGCTATTTGATACATTGAGGTTTCCCCCCCATTGAAAGTTAATGGGAATTCCTTCGCTAGCAAGATACGTAGCTCTGCAAAACAGCCACTGTGGAACAAAAAAAAAGAAAAGACAATTCTGTGTTCAAGAACAATTGGCTCATTGTAGCGAGATAAAGGTAATGACAGAGAAACCAGACACTGATGTAAACAAAGATTATTTCACTCCACCAGCAGAAATATACGCCCACATAACGGCACGAGACGCCTTCCAGTTAAAACTCCAGTCATTTCAAAGCAATAACACTGACAGCAACAGCCTATCTTTGTTTAGCCCATGCACTGAAACGACATGCCAGTAAATGAATAAGTATTATACCCCTGCCAGCTCGCTTATGTGGTTACTTTAGCTGATATGCTGCCATGTTTTACACTCTAATAAAACCTAATTGGGTTCCAATTCAGAGAAACACATAAAGCACCTCACACATATCTTTGCCCCAGGTGTAAAATCAAATTTGTTACTTTCACTGGAGCTCTGTGACCACTAGCCTCACCACACAGCCACTCACCATATGTTCTGCCTATTGGCAAGAGGAGTTCCTAACCACTGAACACATGTACTGTACAGTAATGCACGTTGTCTTACACATATTATTACATTTATACAGCTAGCTCTACTTTCTTTATACAGCCAACCCCCTCTCGATCTCTCACAGACCAAGACACATGACAAACTAAAAGCTGTGAGAGGCTACGAGTGATATGAGAGATGCTCTATCTAAGGTGCAGCTATGAACATCTGGCACAAAGCAGCAACAAAGGGCACCAGTATGTGTGTGTGTGTGTGTGTGTGTGTGTGTGTGTGTCTGAGAGACAAAGGATGAATATTTAAACCACTCCCCATTTGTAAAGATCAAAGAGTCTTGCTCAAACACAGGATCACACCCACACAGTCTTGCGCAGCTACTAAAATCACATGCTAGTCAGGCCCAGAGAATATCTACTGTAGGTGTAAAGGCTATATGTGAGCTATAAAGGCTATATTTTTATATTTTAGGCAGAAGCTGAACTCTGTCCAATAACATAATGCTTCGAGCAACCAAAAGAGTTTAGAAAACATGACATCACAGTGAGAAAATATGAGAAGCTTGCAACATATCTGCCAGCTACGCATCGTTTAGATGTTGATGACTGTCAGACAGATGGATGAACAGTTCACCTTTGGAGCTCTGCTTATTTAGGCTCTTAAGTCGTTAGCAAGTAATTATCAAATACCTACGAAGCTCTGCTGGAGACACATTCAGACATTCTTCCACGCAGCAGCACTGCATCTGGTGCTACAAAAGCATTCTACTGATATTCAGGAGATAAAAAACATTCCTCAATATTGACATTCAACTCTGCCAACATAGTGCAGCACACAGCAGTCAAGTACAGTGGGATTCCAATCAATCAACCACATTTTTTAGGGTGTAATCTGTCTCACAAAGGCCAAAAGTCAAATCTATTCTGGAAGATTAAAGAAAAATAACTTTTCATGGAGAGAATGTGGCAGCCATCCCTTTTGCACTTCTACACCATATTTTGTGACTCCTGCTGACAGAGTCCAATTTCTCTCCTGAGGAGTTTGTCAACACCAGTTGCTGAGATAAGAGGACCCGTCTCCATGTGTTGGTCTAAAGCAGTAAAAAAAATGAAAGGCGGGTTTTTCAAGGTACTGTTACTTCGTATCATCATGTAGCTGAAGGGGGGGGGGGGCAGCTGTTCTCACCTCTGCAGAGGTTCTGCTCATCTGCAGTGAATCCGGCTGTACAGCGGGTGGTCCGGGTGGACTGAGAGACCCTATGGGTGCCTGGAAACACCCGTGGGAGCAGAGGTGGGCTTTGTGGGGCAGCAGGGACAGGAGGGCCTGGGACTGGCAGCGGCACCTGCTCGCCCTCCTTACTGATATAGATGACGGCGCTCTTGGGGAGGCAGAGGTATCCACCAAAGTGGTTGATACACTGCATCCCTCCTTTGCAGGCATCATCTAACAAGGCACACTCGTCGATGTCTAACACAGGGAAAGAAAGAGGATATGTCATTTTCTGTACAGCATTTTTATTGGTTAAAATGACATATTTTGGGCTTGAATTTATAGAAAAAAGATGACAGAATTAAATTTATTAAGCACAAAAAGCTGCACAAATGTGTAATAACCAAAGATTAACATTTAAGGCAATTTGTCATTTCTCACCTCTGCATTGCTCTCTGGCTCTGTCATACTCATAACCTTCTGTGCACTGTGAAGGACAGTCAATGTTTAAATGGTGCATATTTTAGGGTCCTTACTTGTTAACATAAGTAGTTTCTCAGATTTCCCACCAGCAAATCCAATGCATCAAAAGCATGAAGTGTTGTGTTAAACCTGCACAGGCAAAACACTAGCTGGTAAAAAAAAATTATATCTCTCACTTACTGTGTAGGAGATGGGCTCAGCCTCAGCCTCCTGAGAGAGGACATGTGTGAAAATCGCACACAGACACACGCAGATCCCCAGCATGTCGACCAAACGTAGGAGCACCACTGTAACGAGATGCAGAGGAACGAAATGGAGAGAGCGTGCAAGATCATTTTTCGCTTGACAACCCTACATGTTTTAATACCAGTTATTACATCATTGATGGCATTGCTTAACGAGTCCCAACGTCTCCCGCTGCTGGCGTGATGTTTATGTTGGCCCCGCTCCAGCTAAATCTGCGACTTCAACTAAGTGAAGTGTTTTTCTGCTGTTTTTCTCCAAAAGGATTAGTGCGTAATACGCGTAAAGATCGTGCGTAAACATGCCCTTGTGTGTCAGTCAGTGTCAGGAAAAATGAACGAGTTAATCAGCCATGCAGAGCTCATGTTGATTAAAATCCCGTATTTGCACAAAACATGTCCAACTCATCAAGCTGTCCAATCAAATGTTATGTGCGTTGTTTTGACTCTGTCTTGTTTCAAGATACTGACACTTGTTATCAGAGAATTCCCTTAAACAGACGAACTACATCAGAAACAAGAGATATTGCAGATTTTCTCTCACTTTTTTTTTTCATTTACACTACACCACACCACACAGTTCAGTGTATTATTTTCATTGTTATCTCATCAAAGCGCAGTATGCAATAGCTTTGTCATCCTGTGGCGCCTCGGCGACGTACCTGCTATTACCTGCGGATCTCCAACTCTCCTGGTGTGCTGAAGAAAACGTCCCCGGTTGATGCTTTTGTTGCAAATCCGAGTGTGTGTGCGCGCGTAGCAGGCTGGTCTTTATTCTGCAGAAGGCGCTGTGGGTGTTAGATGGTTGTCGGAGTGCAAGCAGCACTTGCGATGAACATGCGGCTCGTACAGTGTGGGGGCGGTGTACCGGGCAGGTTGAGCTCCGGGTTTGTCTCTCACGATCAGCAGGCTACAGTGGCTCCCTCTATAGACTGATGACTAGTGATAAATACGATAACCGTCAAAACAAACAATAAGCTCAAAAAATCTATTATTGCTCCTTACTGATTATAAACTCACGTCAAAACTATATTTCAATCCGTCTCAGAAACTAACCGTAGTTAAGGTTTACCACAGTACAAAATGAATCAAAAACGTATTGATGTGATAACACATATTATATATTTTTTAGTTAAGCTTTACTAAAAATCATAATAAAAAAGTATCCTTATTGCACCACAGTGTTCTTTTATCAGTCATACTCCTTTTGTTTGCAGGTTTCAGTAGTTTTCTAGGGGGAAATAAATTTTTATAGACAATTTGGTATGTAATTTTAAGACGTTTGTGTCTGTGTATATGAACATGTACAGTATGTGTGTCTCTGCAGCAGGTGGTAAAATAAAATCATGTGTTGAAGACCTTTGTCAGCAACCACTACATTAGCCTCCAATACATTTCATGGTGTTTACAAGATGCCTGCACTTCAGGAACATCTGCTGGAATTGGCATGACTTCCTGGATTTCCCATGGGTGAAGAGACAGCAAGTGATTGTGTGTGCACAGTACGCATGTGTGCCAACAGCTTGCTGATATGAGTGGATGGAGATGGACTTGGCACCACCTCCTTTAATGTTGAGCCTCTGACCTTTCCTCACAGGGTGTGTGGATGACAGATGATTGCAGATACATTCTGCGTGGTGCGATATATCCTGTAGGTGCAGAGTCAAACTTTGGCAAAAAGCAGTTTCTTCTCTTCCAATACACAAAGTTTAATCTTTAATGTGAATATTTACCAGGTAAAACACATTAAAACTGGGTATCTAAGAGCAAAGTTCTGGTCCTGTTCTGTAGGGATATGCAAGTCTGCCCACATGATGACTGAATGAACCAATGCAGTAGTAGTGCAGAGTATGGCATAGGAATGAACTACAGAATATGATAGTATGTAACTGTACAAACATAAATGACCCAAAGAATAACTCTGCAAAAACGTCAGCTCTTCACTAAAAGTTTATTTGACTTGGCAAACTATTCAATAGATGCACAAAAAAACGCAGAGACATTGAGATAAAGCACTTGATTAATCAAAGCCGTTTTGAAACAGTTTATAGAGATTAATAGAAGATTTTATCCAAGACTGATGAAAGAGAGGATGAGACAACATTCCCCTTGGTCCTATTCCTCCCTGCAAATCACAGAGGCGAGGCTGAGGTGGGTGTGTCCCCCTGGGAGCACCTCTAGGTGTGAGAAATTCTCCACAGAAATGTTATTAAAGTCAAAGAAGATAGTCCTTCTCACACTGATGTTACAAAAACAAAATCACTGGTCTAACTGATCCAGTACATTCATCTGTGCAAAATTGTACTGACATGCATTAAAAACTGTATTTGTGCAGAAAAGGTAGCCTGCAAGAAAAACACCCTCAATATATAACCTCAAAAGAACGAGGCATCTCATTTGGACTTAAGTGAAAAAGAGGATAACATAATAGAGATACCAGATAGCATGAACATACATTTAAATCTAAGAGTGATAGATTGGGCCTCAGCTTAACATAATTACTGCTTTTAGTTTCACAACATCTCTGTGATCATTATTACCTAATCCCCCAGTCAACAATAGTGCCTAACATACATTCACAAGTACACACACACATTCTGTAACAAGTATGTAAAGTATATTGCTGAGATATTGTTTCACTGTTATCATTGTTAGCAGTCAGAAAAAAATACAAATTAAAATCTCATATAAGAGCTAATACACTACTGAGGTACATTGTATTTAAAAGATAGGAGCCGGTGTGATGTTTCTTTCGATGCTGAAGGCAATGCATCAGGTACTGTTGGCAATTGGAAAATCAGCCAATCAGTTCCTGATGCAGTATCATCCACATCAGAAAGCTCTTCCTTCACTTAGACATCGGTGCAGGGGCCAACAAACGGTGAACAGTTTACAACATAATTTGGTCCTTCTGCAAGATCTCCTAATGGTGCGAGGAGTGGTATAAAAATAACCCAAACTTAAAAACAAGAGATTATTATTCTTTTCATCCTACGATAATACAATAGCCAATACTGTACAGTGCACATCAGTGTAAGTCAAGATGGCAGCAGAAGCATCTGGAAAGTTAATTCATGCAAATTCAAGATGGGCATGCATTATGAAAGAGCTGCAAGAGATGAGGCTGCACTTCAAAAGACTGTCGAAAAGAAATTTTAAAAAAGTGGGGAAGGGGGATGTGAGAGGAGGAAGAGCAGACAGAGAGGGTGTCTGTGAAACGCACTTGTGTAATTGCAGTGACATCTTCATTGAGAGCCCTCCATCTCTTTCCTGTGTGCTCCAAAGGGCGTCGCTGACGCCGGTCGATGGGGAGAGCAGCCGAAGCGCTGTGTTTAGCATAATCCCAGAGGCCATTGTGAGAGCAGCTAGTGAACGACTCACAGTTGCCAGCTGAGATTTCACCACAACACAGCAGAACACAAGTAGAAGGGGATGAGACAGGAAAACCAGAGTTGGAGGAGGGGTAAGAGTGGGGAAAGAGCTCAGACGAGAGACAGGAGAATTGGTAGTAGTAATGAAGCAAAACAAAATGCAGATGTGTGACATTCCAAAGAAATATGAAGAGTAATACGTTATATAGCTTGCTGAGTTGTGTGCATGTGTGTGTGTGTGTGCATGTGTGTGTGTGTGTATGTGTATGTGTATGTGTATGTGTATGTGTGTGTGTGTGTGTGTGTGTGTGTGTGTGTGTGTGTGTGTGTGGTGGTGGTGGTGGGGGGGGGGTGCTCATTATCTGTGGCAAGTGCACAGCATCAGAGGCAGAGTATGATGTGTGATGTGTGAATCTTCATCCAGGTGGACTGCACCTGTTGGCCCTTATTCAGGACTGAAATTCAATAATCTGTCCTTTTTCTTCTTTTAAACAATCACTAACTGTTTTGACTTGTAACAGTGAGGCATTAAAAGATTAAGCAAATGTGTCACATGCAACATTTCATCTATTGTGCAACGACCAGCTAGAGTGTGAAATCCTCTTTGATCACTGTTTCAGGTAGGCAGACTGTTTTTGAGCTAACCTTTGGTAAACAATTTAGTCTCCTCCTAACATGCTCTGAACACCAAGATGAAAAATTAAACAAACAGCTCAGACAATACAATGACTTTAATAAAATAAAGACAGTTTAGGGGTTTATGTTATGGAGATTTTTTAAAGACATATTAGACAAACTGCAGAATCTCTCCAGGTGATTGTGAGAACATAAAGCACCATCACAGTTGCCTGCAGAGATTACCCAGTCAGCCCAACGCACATACAAACATACACACTGCTGTTCTGTGGTGGGTACGTGTTATATCCATAAGAGTCAATTGGCAACAGAGGGTTAACACTGATCAGGATAAAGACCAAGCATTGACCTTAACCCCCCCCTACCGTTCACGAAGGTCCTGTGTTCCCATGGTGATAAGGCCGTGGCACGTGCCTCCCATTGTTGAGCTGTATCCTCCAGGGTCAGGCGCACATGCAGTTAGAGGTCAGATGTCACACAGGCCTCTCACTTAGGTCACCACTCACCAGCCTTTGACCCCAACAAACACTGAAACAAATTGAGAGATGGGGGAGAGAGGGGAGAGAGGGGAAAGAGGGGAGGACGAGATGGCTCCATTAGACATATTTACTCAACAATTCTGCATGATCACTCGACAGTTTAGGATATTTGGACAAATGTGTATTTGTTGTGCTTCAGGTGTTTTAAGTGAAGATTGGCTGTGTAGTCCGGAGTGGGCAGTGTACAGTATAGTGGAGAATGACCCTGCATGTTACAGTATGTCTCCCTCTTGTGGTGAAGTGTGATGCTTTGGACTTTATTCAAAGTGTAGCACAAAAACAAAGAATATGGGGCGTCTTGGTGGCCTAGGGGTTAAGACCATTTAACAGATTATAGTTGTTCCATGTCATCCCCTTTCTTTCCCAATGTTTCTTGTCTACATCTGCACTGTAAACTATCTAATATATGGCAAAATGCCAAAAAGCATTATGTTTCATATTTATGCTGAGCTTTGTTGCTCTTGTGTATCAGAAATATGAGATACATATGATACTGAATGGTTTTTTACCCTTGGTATTTCTTACTTAAAACTGGATTCAAACAAAACACATACTTTTATATGTAATTTGTACACATAGTCGTCACGGTCAAGCATACTTCTTGCTGAAAAAGCCTCTTGATCCAACCTTATTTTGTTTAATTGACAAAATGCCATTAGCTGTTGCAGTTAAACTGCCCAAATCAGACACATGTCCTCACATTTTGGAAAGTCTTTGGCTAGAGGTGTCATCTTTTCCATTGAGCCTTGATGCATGTTGGGATATTCAGGTCATCGAGTTGCAAAGTGTTGCTCAGGCGTTGACAAAAGAAAAATCTTAAGTTTATTAAACGGAACAGGCTGACAGTCCACACTTTGTTAGGCAGTGAATGAACAGAGTGGTTTTGACAGGCCTAACCTCTTAAGCTTCGGGTCCCACTGAGCTCGGCACAGCTAGAGCTAAATGCCATCTGTCCCAACATCATGAGGCCCCCCTAACCTGTCCCCCAACAGTTTAGCATAAAAATCATGCAATACTCCTATAAAGGAAGAATATAAAGGTAATTCCACTCATCTGATATCAAGTGCCTAAATTAAAACTAATATCACGTCTTCAGTAAAGGCTTTTCAGTCAGAGATTTTAAGGCTGTTCAGGTTAAATGCTTTGTGAACAAAGCTGAGCTTGAAGATAAAACGTGCAAGGTATAGGCTATGCACTGCGAATTATCAGAAAAACAGCTTTCTTTGAAGACTTTAATAACAGTTAATGTAAATGTTTTTTTTTAATTATTTAATAAGTTGAATGACCTAAAACTACTATACTATTACTT